CATTTGCAACCCACAAAAAGTACCCAATGAACATTATCCTCCAACCGGGCACCATAAAACCTTCACTAACATTCTGGCCCAGTCTGGGGCGCTCCCCAGAGGTCTGGACGCCAGAAAATTAAGTAACTGTCATATAATACATCCTACCACTAAAGGTTTGTTACACTGAGATTGTGCATGTGCCTCTCTTCTTTAAAATTTAATTAAAATACAAGGTCCTGTATTCATGGCCCGCGAGGACAAAAATGCCAAAAGTTTTAAAATGGATCAACCCTGGTGTGTAGCTAGCAAGCAATTAACTGACTACTCGTCACCTACAGTTGTACTAAATGTATCTAAAGAAACACACAGTCCTACAAAAGTTGTTCTCAGAGAAATATCATTGAGGCGGGGGGGCACCTCTCTCCCAGGATGCTAAAAGTTCTATATGATATAAGCACAAATTAACAGCTTGATGAAGACATAATCTAATGCAGCTCTGAGAAGCCTATGCCTGGGATGTAGTTACCCCTCACATTCTACAATGTTGTAGAGATTTATTTTTTTTTCCCAAGAAAATGTCATTTGAAACATATTTACAACTGAACTCAACAGAGACTGTGAAATTGAACAGGCACTGCTCATTTGTTTGAGTTTTTTGGTAAACATTTTGCTGGTTTTTTTGTTTGTTTGTTTTTTTGTTTGCTTCTTTCTTGTTTTGCATCAACTTTTATCAGTCCATGCAACTTCAATGCCCTCGATGAAGAATGCATAATAAGCCATACTTCTTTAAAAAAAAAAAAAAAAAAAAAAAAAAAAAAGACTTCCTTCTGCATAAAGAGATATGTTTGCCACATCAGTCCCTGTAGCACAGTTTTCAAAAACCATTCTGTCAAAAATACAGTAATACAAGACTAGCTTTAGTGTCACTAGCTCACACTGCTTTCCACGTATTTAGGCCACCTTTTTGTGACGGGAACTGTATCATGCATTAAACGTTATCAAAGGCTGAGTCTAGCGTATTGGTAGGCTAGTGGCACTGAAGCGCTTTTCACAATCTCAACATACATTTGAATTGCAACACACAGATATTTCTAAAGAGTATTAACTAGTGAACCCTCTTATTATAAAAAAAAAAACAAAACAAAAACCAACTACTACTTACAACCATTGAAGAAAAAAATTGCAACAACAACAACAAAAAAATGTAAAAATTGACCGTCTCCAACTTGTCCCCTTTGCTATTAACAATATAACCAACAGATCTGTGGCACGGACACAGTACAAAGAGTTGTCATGGCAATGAGTTTGGCTGATGCAAAGGACATTGTGCAGGGTCAAAGGGCAAAATCAGTGGTCCATGTTACCCCTCCAACTGCAGTGCTCCACCCCACCCACACAATTTCTTTAAGGAATTAGGAAAAAAAAAAAAAAAAAACAGGGGAACTAGCAGAAAGTGCAAAATATGAAGAAGGCAGCTTTCAGCTCCTTCAGCATGGAATAGGACATTCAGTTTTGAGCTTTTCCTATTAAACTTGAATAGCTTGCACATTCAAAAAAAAAAAAAGTTTTCTGGAGAAACCCAATTTTTTAAAAGTCCAGGAAGCATGCAGCTGGTTAATGTTAACAAAAGACCTTGACAGGAACATGTAAACTATATTGAATGTCATGCTTGGGGCCTATCTGCCAGCAATATCGTAGAGTTGTTTCATTAAAGAACAAATACTGTACACTGAATATGGGATAACTTTCTGCAGCCTTCATGGTTTCACACAGTACCTAGATTTTTTAAATCCAGGGGAAGCACGGGTCCTGGTGTCCCACCACTGAAGATGTCCCTGTGCAATCGCTTTCTGCTGAGTCCTTACGAAGCTACAAGTCACAAACCCACGATTCTGCTCCCTGAGGACACGTTATGTGAGACACAGCACTGCCTATCCTGATTGCTCTGTGAAACGTCACCTCAAACACCATCCCGTGGCGGCCACGAGGACTTCCGCTAAAGGCCGTGTAGACTAAATAACAAGACAGTGGTACTGCTGACATTCTGAAATGCTCTGAAAAAAACAACTTTCCCAACACTAAATACAACAAAATAACCTTCATAAAATATAAATTTTCTCCATTTACACTTTTTTAAAGGATTAGTACCCTGTGCTTTTCAAGCACGGGCATCTGTGAAATAACTCCTAACATGGACAGATTTCTCCTTTTTTAATACATAACTTAAGAGCCTGGAGAGTTTTAACTCAAGTCCAGCCTCCAAACAAGGAATAGTCTTGTTTACTTTAAAAATGGAAACAACATACCGTTCCATTATAATGGTTAAAAAGTTAGCTTTACAAACATGGGAATTTTAATTTAAAAAAAAAAAGAAGTCTTAACAAAACTATACAGTGTACACATTACTGTCTACAAGGTAGGCGGTTCTTTAAGAAGACCTTCCGCTCTTCTTGCTACTTGCAGCTTCACAGATTCATTCACATATTTTTTTTTTTTAAATGGAGCTGCCCACCCGAACATTACCCCATAACTATATTGCTATCATTAAGGTTTTTGCCATGTCTTTATGTACAGTCTCCTTCACTGCCTTTCACTCATTATGTTCCTTAGGCAAGCCTCCAACACTCACATCACTCCAGAGGAAAACACTTCAGAGGCACTGCGAGTGGGGGGCTGCAAAGCAACACAACACAAGCGGGACACACACAGTGCCACAGAGCCAACCGGGGCCTGGAGACACCGTCCCCTACTGATGATGCCCTTGGCTGACCTTCACCATCCTGAAGCTCTGCAGTTTGGGGGAAGAGAGGCGCATGCAAGACCTGGAAATGTGGGGCCCTTTAGTCAGAATATACTTCCTGGTAAAAGAGGAGGAGGCCGAAAAATGGATGTGAGACCATACATCTAGTAGTATCTTTTTTTTTTTTTTTTTTCATAGTTGGCTCTCAAAAGGAAAGGAGAAAAAGAAAATGGATTCCAAATAATAGCAACACTTGAACTAGTCCTTTGTGTTCAAGAGGCAGGCAGGAATACCCACAGTGTGTAACTTCTTAAGCTGGAACTGCTCATTCAACTGGCAAAAGAAGAGAGCGAGTCTGCTCTGGAAAGAGACTGCGTGTCCTGGGAGGTGGACGTGTCCACCGAACAGGTCTAGGATACATGAAGAACTTGGCTGGGATGGAGCAGGGCAAGTACCACAGAAATGGCTGGACTTACTTAGGACCGTGCGCTGCTGGGATCCCACTGTGCTATTCAGCACGTGGGCTGCCCATACAATCCTCAGGCCCACGAGCACTGTTCCCAAGTATTCATTATTAAATGATATGCTGTGGGAACAATGGCAATTTATAGTATTGGACCGTGGCCTGGAGAAAGGGACTCCTCAAAACAGCCCACCCTGCGTCACTAATTCTAAGAGATTTTCCTTCTAGTAATGGATTGCCTCCATGGGACTGGGCGAGGAGGGAAATAAAACTGAAACCAGTCTCTCTTCACCCTCGGTGCCTCAGGAGAAAGGAAATTAAAAAAAAAAAAAAATAAGTTTGAGGGACCATCCCTTAAAAAAAAAAAATCCCATCAGCAACTAATGGGCTTCATGCATCCACAGGAAGGTTAATCCTTAAAATTCTCCATTTCCCTTCTGCTCTGTCTCTCAGTTTCAAAGAGCAGGTAAAATGAAAACTTGACAAGATTTATTTTTTTGTTCCTTAAAAAGTGAACTTTGATTTTTAAAACTGTTAGTCCAAATACATTTAATAATAGCCACCTTCTGGATGTCTAAAAAAGAAAATTCCAGCACACCGCCATCCAGGTGAAGTGATAGGTGAGCCACAGGCGAATCCTATCCCATTGTTTATGAATGAAGAAATGGGAAGAATTGGAGGGGAAAGGCTATGGGAGCATTCCCTGTAGCCACAATGACTTGTTTTGTATGAGGAAATATGCGGATTTATTAAACCCCCAAAATGTGACATATCTGCTCTGTGGATATTTCAACAAATAACCTTGCCAATTATGAGACAGGCTCACTCTCCACTGTGGATCTGAAACTCAAGAAAAACTACTACCACCACACACACACACACACACACACACACACACACACAAAAAAAAAAAAAAAAAAAAAAAAAAAAAAAAAAAACCAAGAGAGAGAGAAGGAAGAAGAAAGAAGGAGGAGGAGGAGAAGAAGAAGAAAGGAGAAGAAGAAATTACAGTTTGTTTTAAGCCAAGTCTGCCTCCAGGAGAACTGTTGTGTTCACTTGCTCTTACTCGTTGTGTTGTTAGGGAGACCAGAGATGAGTCCAGCTTGCACCCCAGGTGGGAAGTTAGAGGAGGGGGAACCTGTGTTAAGTTGAAGTTCGTCACAGTAGGCAGAACAGTCGCTTTGCAGCCCAGGCCCATCTCAGGGTGCACTGCTTCACAGCTACACTGTAAAGTGTTAAAAATCCTCCCACCCGCCCCAGAATATATATATATTTATATATGTATCTTAAAAAAAATCCCCTGTCCATCTCTCAGTACACAAAAGGACCTCATCACACTGCAAAAATAGCAGTACCCACTTTGGTCAATTAAAACAAACAAAACAAAACAACAAAACAAAAAAAAAGCATACATTATTTTTTTTTAAATCTGTGTACTTACCTATAATAACCAATACAGCTAAAAGCACTACCTACATAGGCAAAACTTGGTATTGCATAATTCGTATAAATTTGAAACCCCTCCCCCCAAATATTAATTGGAAGATGAAAAACATGAAAGGTTAATAGAAAAAACACCAAAAATACTGAAAATATTGCTGGTCGATTACAATTTTTAAGCGGCAACTATACACAGCCATGATATGCTTTATAAATGTGAGATAAAGGTATAACTGTCTAAAAAATCCATGATGTCACACATTTTTCTTCGTCTGGAGTACAAAATATTTTGTCATAAAAATGGTAAAGATTTAAAATGATAATAAATGCAGCAAAACAAGTGTAGTGATGTCACTTTTTCGTGGTTTTTCTGTGTGTGTTTTTTTTTTTTCTTTTTTTGTCTTTTAGATTTCAAGGCAAGGCACGTAATGTGGACATTATATCTTCGTGCAAATTAGGATTACTGGAAAGAGTATTTTTAATTAAAATTTTAAGAGACATAGAGGCAAAAATGTGTCTGCCCATGCACACTACAGATCTGTCAATACAAGAAGTTCATTGAACAAGGCTAATGTCTGAAAGCACCATGCAAGTATTCAGCACCCTGATCACACGTGTTTTCTCAAGAGTGCGTTTCTATATCCTACACCCTGGCGGTCCCAGTTTGTAAACTGTAAGCTTTACCCTTGTGACATGGATTTGCCTGCCTCTGTCTCTGTGATGCAGATTTTATAGAATCTTTTGTACACCCTATGGGTTCTTGATGCAACCAGTAATTTTTAAATAAATAAATTCTACCTCCGAGGAGGCTGCAGCTAAACCAACATAAGTGCTGTGTTTCCATTAATTTTTTTTTTCCTCAAGCACATGATTTGTCTTGATTTAATGCATTTTTTTTCCATGCCCTCAAAAACTGAGGGGAAAATAAATTCGCTCAAAATTATTGTAAATTCTTTTTTTTTTTAATCCCCTCAATTTAGAGTCCAAGGGTTGAAGGACTTATAATCATGATTCCCCTTTAGATATAAATTTATAAATTGCACTTGCCTCTGTTAAGTGTTTCTTTTGTGGGCAAAATATTATATTAATTTTTTACTGTTGCATGCAGAGATAACACTTCACCTACATAGAGGCATTTCTTCCATAGAGCCTTTGTGTTCAAACTGGTTTTTTTTTTTCCTTTTTCCTTTTTTTTTCCTTTTTTTTTTTCCTTTTTTTTCTTTTTTAAGATTTCAAACTGGGTTAAACACTGGAAAAGGCTGGGTTAAGGGCCAAAATTTAATAAATCTGTACTGATAACTAAAGGCTACAGAGATTCCATATATTCTTTTAACTTTTAGAAATCAGAGTGCTTATAAAATGGCTGGCTCATGGCTCCGACACCCAGCACCTCTGATGCCGCCTCCTAGCCTTCGTTGGTGAAATAACCAGGAATAGTGATTCCATGCGTAAACAACAAGATTACTAAACCAAGAAAACTAGCTTATCATGCAAATATTAAGGCATCTAGAAAGTCAGTTAAAATATATTGTCATAGAGACAGAACATCTATTTCCCAGCGGACTTCATGTAACAAAGGCTACGCGTTGCAGGGGCTGCGATCTACCATCAGTGAAATATCATCGACCCTTTTTTTTTTTTACGTCATTACAGTTTCAACCTTAAGGGAATTAGTGATTGTAAGTGCTGCAATTGCTGGTCTAATATCTTCTTTCTTCCGTTTCCTTCCTTCCTCCCTTTTTGTTTCGTTTTTATTTTGTCCAGTCTTCCTCCTTTCCATTTTTCTTTTCTTTTTCTTTTTCTTTTTCTTTTTTAATTTCGTAAGCTGCTGTTGTATTTCATTCTCTCCCTCAGTTGCTCGTTTCTGCTTGAAGGAAAGGTTCTCCAATTATGTTCAAACCGTAATTTTGGACATTTGCCGGTAGGATGGGTGTCCTGTTTGATACTTGGAAAGGAACCAAACTAGCCCAGGTACCAGGACTGTTGATAGGAGGGGGGCAGGAGGGAAGGAAGAGAAAAAGAGAAAACACAATGTTAAAATCGACAACATTAGAAACATAAATGCCACAGATATCAAATTACTACTATCACCTATTTAAAAAAATTATAGTTTAATATGAGATAAATGTACTAAATTATATATTTTATAGGTATACACACCACATGGTCTATTGTTTTCACGGAAGGTAAGATTAATTGTAAAGCAGAATATCCTCAAATCAGGCTCATACATAACTGCTCAACTCTGATTGAGGATATTCTTCCTAAAATATTTTATCTACTTTAATGGAAATATAATATTATTTTTTAAAATATTTATTAAAAAAATAAAAGAGAGAAAGCAGCAAACCTACAATGGTAGCAATATAGTTTGCCAGTTATATTCTGATCTTGTTTTACTTTGAATTCATAAGCAATTCAGTGATAAGATGGGCTTCAATTTTTTATATGCCTATCGGTTGAATAAAGTTAAAAGCTGTAATGAAAGTTATTTCTGTTATCTTACAATAAGGAAAACATATTTTTTCAGGAAGGCCAGTGTATAGTGTTTGAAATGCTGACACCAGAAGCCTGGTGCCTCCCTGCCCCTCCCCATCAGTGATGTTACCACATGGGGCTGCTCTGGGTTTGGGTACTTAGAGGGATGAGTGGGAAGAATGCCGGAGGGAATAGCTGATGGGATTCTGGCCCCTTTACAACCAACACGGGGTTCACCTGTGTTTGGTTTGAGGCTGCTTAAGAAAAAAAGTTTGAAAAACAGCCATCTAATTACTACTGGCACAATCTCTTATTAAACAAGTATCACATGGAGGAAAATAACACCAGATCTACATATCACAAAACAATCCCACACCATACATTTGGGGTATACCTAATCCAATGTATTGCTTGTTTCAACACTCAACTTAGAATGAGTGTCAACTAAGTAACAGCTGCATAAAATCATCATGAACCAAGAAAATATCAAACTGACAATTCCATACTCAATGTTGTCATGGTCTGGCATGGGGACCTAATTTCAAAGTTTTAAATTTCATTTACTATCTTCTCCTATTGCAAGCATGAGGTGAGATGGATACTATTATCATAGCTATCAACCTAGACACCCTCATTTTAAAAAATATTTGAATTTAAAAAGGTACAGAACCTTTATGGAGTATTCACTTCAGGGGAGAATTTTGTCAGCAAAAAAGAAATGAGAGAAAAATGCTTGGATTTTAAAAAAGAACTTGACATATAACTTTCTTTTACTCTGGAGATACTCTATACAAAATGGGACTTATTGCTACTTATCTAGGTACATATTTCTGAATTAATATTGCAACAGAAAAAAAATCACAATGACCTTTTATGCTCAAGGGACTTTATGATTAGACAATGAGCTTCATGATAACAAAGTCCATCTCTTTTTGTTCTTCATTTCATATACTACCTAGCACGTGGTCAATTTTCAATAATTTTTAATAAACCAACAAATCAATTAAATGCTCCAAATCACACCTATGTATTTTTGAAGAGTGTTGCTCATAATCACATCTTTTTAAGATTACAGTGTGATTTGACCCCTATAAAAAGAAATCAGGCATCTCTAAATTTAAATTAGAGATGTTTAGCATTAACAAAAATTAATTATGTAGGAAAAATTAAATATTAATTCAAACAAGGAATAATTCCAACTAAAAAGATAATGTCCTCATTATCTGCTTTAAAAAAAATCATCATTCTAAAGAAGAAGAGTAGCTGTTTCTAAAACCTTTTCTCAGAGACTTAATTGTTTTCACATATTTATTTTCCCCCCACACACATCTTCAACAATTATTTCTGCTTCGCACTACTGATTAGGAAGAATGTTACATGACAAACCATGAAACTTACTTTCTCCTTAATTGTATTTCCACCACACTTACTATTACAGTACTATTATTATAAAGTACTATTATTACAGCATATATTACTCCATAAAAGCATAATCTGTATCTATGATAATCTTATTGACTGAAAGAAAATGGCCTTGTCTTATCAATCCTGACAGAATCTGGCCATGGCTGATGTTAAGCATTTATTAACAAATAATAAATTACAAAAATTGACATCCATTATTTTTAACTTGAAATAGGAAGTGTGTATGAAAAACAAACTAGACTAGCTCCAATTGATAATCCTTGACAGTAACAGACAATGTCAGCAACGGGCTCATCAATAAGAGTCACAAATTATATGGGCTCTATATAGAGAGTGCTACTTTAGAAAAATAAAATATTAATGATTGAGAATAGATGTGACTCTTTAAAATGAGAACTCTACCTACAATGGCAGAAAAGACATGATATCAGGGTGAACTAGGCAACAGCCTAGTTGATTCAGTTCTTTAAAAGAGAAGCATATTATTGTTCTTTGGAAAAGTCTCAATAAAAATAAAGTGATCCCAGTGACTAACAGGATTCTTGTTGTGAAATATCGAACAGATTCAATTTAGATGTTTATTTAAACCTTTCAAACCTCCATCCCACATGATGACCATGTCAAAATTGAAGTGTGCAATATATTTGTCAATACTGTTTATGAACCTTTGGGGGGAAATAAGTTTCAAAGATTAACACTATGCAGACCCAATATATGAATTTTACAAGTCTCTTAATGCCAATTTGTAGGTTAAGTTCAGAACTATAAGGCACAGACATATTTAGAGCTTTTTGGTAGTCCCATTGAAAAACTCTGATAAAATTCAATTATAATAATAATGTAAAGAAAAATGTTCTGACAAAATATCTTAGATTATTTCATTTTGAAAAGAGAATGCCTCAAATTGCATAGTTATTCAGGTAAAAAATAAAAAAGAGTGATTTTTACATATTTTACTCTTTCAATATAAATAAATGCCAATGATCACCAGAATGGATAAAATAAACACACTTATTCATATTTATCTACACATAGAAACTTGTTATATATAAAATGCTTAATAATTTTAATAATTTTACTTCAGAATGGAATGAGAATTATATGGATAATCTTATAGTAAATTGAATAACCTGTGTCTCTGTCTACTAAGAGACAATTGAAAGATTTCAAAATATTCAAGATCAAATTAAACTACTTCAGCAATAAGTATATCTTCAGGCATGCATTTACTTTATTTAAATTACATTTCCATTGCCAGATCACTTTTTTTTTTCCAAACAGAAAATGAGCATGACTGAAAGTTAAAAGCACATCTTTAGAAAATAAGGACTATGATATTAAAAAAAATTAAGGACTTTGAGAAAAATCAGGTAAAAAAGAAGCAAAGATTGTGACAGTGCCTTAACACAAAGCAGAATTCACCCAAATGACTTCAATGACTTTTACTTTATGTGTAGAAAGTTGCAGGGGGGGGGGGGGAGGAAGGAAGGAAGGAAGGAAGGAAGGAAGGAAGGAAGGAAGGAAGGAAGGAAGGAAGGAAAGAAGAGAGAGAGAGAGAGAGAGAGAGAGAGAGAGAGAGAGAGAGAGAGAGAGAGAGAGGGAGAGAAAGGAAAGAGGAAAGGAAAGGAAAGGAAAGGAAAGGAAAGGAAAGGAAAGGAAAGGAAAGGAAAGGAAAGGAAAGGAAAGGAAAGGAAAGGAAAGGAAAGGAAAGGAAAGGATAATATTTTTATATTCTTCTTGTTGATGGTCCTGCTTCATTTTATACTGATCAGACTACCTCTAATACACTGTGTTTCTTCTAGGCATCACTCTTCAAAAGAAACAAACTCTATGCCATTTCTTTGGTGAATAAAACCACCAAATAATGTAATTTGAGGAGCAGCTAAAAGGAGACAGGAAGACAGGGAAGTTAAGTTGGAAAGAAATGCAGACTTCCGTCTGGTTCAAATGGATAAAATTAATTAGTACAAAGAGAGAAATTTCCAGAAAATAACCATGCTGAGGGCCTGTTACGAGCAAGGTGCCATCTTTGGTATTTCACATAGGCTATGTTACTTAATCCTCTCAGTGAACTCTGGAATGTGCCATCATCATTCCCATTTCACAGATGAGAAAACTGAGGCTTAAAGAGCTTAAGTAACTTGCCCAAATTTACCCACCTAGACCTCAGCTATGAATCAGTTCTGTTTGTCTGACTCCCATGAAAGTTAGAAATTGACCTACCATTAGAAAGAACATTTGAACATAATTTCCGGAAGGCAAAGTGAATTTACTTCAAGAGACAGGGAATTTCCCATGGCCCACACAGCTGGATCATAACCTAGCTAGTGTTGCAACAGACTGGAATACAGAATATTTGGTTGGTCTGGGTGATAAAGCAACACTGAAATGTGATGCATCTGTCTCCTCTGAAAACAAATCTAGTTGAGGTTCTATTAGAGTGACCCTATCATAAGGATTAAGGGGGAAGAAGATACCCACTTCTTCCTTTTGAAAATGATACACTAGTTACACATGTTGTGTCCCAGATAAATTGGATAAAATAGTTGATCTTCATATCTACAAGGAGTAAATAGATTCTATACCTCTCAAGGAAAAAAATAGAAAAATTGCTCTGAGCAAGTCAACATTTGATGGTTGTGTTTTTTGTTTGTTTGTTTTTTTGTTTGTTTTTAAATATATTTTATTGATTTTTTACAGAGAGGAAGAGAGAGGGATAGAGAGTTAGAAACATCGATGAGAGAGAATCATCGATCAGCTGCCTCTTGCACATCCCCTACTGGGGATGTGCCCACAACCAAGGTACATGCCCTTGACCGGAATCGAATCTGGGACCTTTCAGTCTGCAGGCCGGTGCTCTATCCACTGAGCAAAACTGGTTTCGGCTGATGGTTGTGTTTTTAAAAATTATGGCCGAAAAGGATTGGGCCCTGAACATTTAGTTCACTCAAGAACCATGGGATGACAAATATAATTACATGAAGTTGTTGATTGAGTAAGAAACCAAAGTCAAAGGCTTCAGTTCAACTATTAGTCTTAGACGGTTAAAAACAGTAAGAGCTATTCCATGAAGGGCA